TGTTCAAACAACGACAGGCAGAGCAACTTCTAATTTAGTGCTCAGCTACTCAGACATACGCATTCTCATTTAAAGTTGAAACATAACTACAGTACAAAATTTATACATTGCAAACTGCATGACTTACTTAAATTTTAACTATTTGTTTCATTTCAAGGGAACGTAAACGTAAGAAAATAGTGTTAATTGTATTAAATCGTAAATATTTTAACCAGCGTTTCCCATTGTAGTTACAGAATCCTTATGCATTCCATATTTTGGATTTTGAGGTTGAGGAACGGCTGAATGGTTAAAGCTGGGAGAGAAAGGTAGTTGGTCTCGTGATGAGTGGCCTATATTAGAGACTACATTATAGCTTTATATAAAGCAGACTAAACGTGACATCGAGAAGTCTCGCTCGTTAGTTCGTTACAAGCAAAATTAATTTAAAAATTAATAGAACTCAGCTCAGTGTTTACCTTATAACATGTTAAAGATTAAAGGTCATTTCTCAGAAGAAAGAAGACCGGATTCAGAAACGTATGTGTGTGTGTGATTATGGCAAAGCCTCGAGGGCTATCTGCCTAAGGGAAGGGATGCCTTCGTGGAGGACTTTCTAAGGACTTTCTAATTGCTCGTATACACGTTACATATGGGGAAAACCACGAAAACGCCCATGCAGCCAGCCCGTTCGCGGGATTCGAACCTCGGACCGAACTACCAGTGTTCAGCGACTTTTACCGCTCGGCCGCTGGTGGGCCCTCAGAAACGTATGTATTGTATGCATATATATATGTATGTATGTGCATATATTATAAAGTATTTCTCCAGCCTTCTTGGCATGCCTTCGTGATGTGGTAGTCTGCACGATGGGCGCGTATATTAGAGGTCTGCAGTTCGATTCCCGGCGAAGGAGGTTGCTCATTTTTCATTTTGCTTGCTTCCAAAATACCTAATGTCTCTACAAGGGGCGCCCGAGCAGAAAGGGTCGTGGATGATGATTCACCACACCCAGAATTTGGCAACTGGATCCCCTAATCCCCAGCCGCTCTTTAAAAGAGGGAGTATATAAGGTATTTCTCCCTCCATTTTAACATGCCTTCGTAGAGTGGTGGATTCGATTCCCGACGACGACGAAGGCGTTGCATATTTTTCATCTTGCCTGCTTCCAAAAAATCCTAATGTCTCTACAGTGGCGCTCGAACTAAAAGGATGTTGGATGATGATTCTCCTCACCCGGGATTTCAAGATTGTGTATCCTAAAAACCCCAGTCGCCCTTCAAAAAGGGGGTATATAAGGTATTTCTCCCGCCTTCTTGGCATGCTTCGTGGTGCATGGTGTGCCCCCCTCCAGGGGGTTGACTCAAGCGAAGCCTGAGAAGTACTGGTTATGATCTGTACCTAGGCAGTCTTAATCACTGAGGTATATAATTTGACTTCACAGGACTAGAACCCGAGTATTGTACTCAGGTTGGTTCAGGCTCGACAGGGACCGCACTGGTATTGTCATGTCTGTTCCTTCGGCTGTGGTGGAGCTATATCGGATATCGTCGACTGAGTCCCCGGGGGGTTTGACCCCATTCAGTTCTCGTGGCGGGAAATGACAGAGTGGACAGAGCATCTCTTTTAACAAAGTGGTTTTGCCGATGGAGTGGTGCCCGAAGGCAAGGTGACGGAGTTTCAAAATTGCAACGTTTAAGTTCTGCCCAATGCTTTGTAAAAGCCGGGCGAGGACTGCGGGGGTTGCGCGCGCGAGAACGGCGTCCCTCGGACGATGGATATTCCAAACTCTGTATGGGTCCTCTAGAATATCGATCTAGGTCGGAGGTCCTTCGTCTGGTGTGTCTGGGGTGGTCTGCACGCTGGGGGCCTATTCCAGAGGTCCGCGGTTCGATTTCAAGCCGTAGGCGTTTCTAATTTTTCATTTCTTCTGCTTCCAAATAAATCTTAATGTCTCTACAATATGTGTGTGCGTGTACACACATACATACGTACACGCATATACTCGTGCATACAGGAACTCATCCATCCATTCATCCATACATGCATATGTATACATATATTCCTGAATGCGGCCGTGATAACAGGTGAGTACCGAAACCTCCTTAGTTTAGTGGCTAGAATGACTCGAAGTACAAGTAAAATTCTCTTATCAAATGCTGACTTGGATCCTGTGCCTGCCATTTAGTTGGCTGGCTGAGTTATGAGTAGTCTGGACACGAGACCAATATGTTTTGTCTTATTATTAAACTTAGGTATAAATATTAAACTTAGGTATAAATTCTTCGAACTGAATCCACAAGAAAACTCATTGACGAGGCTCTTACCGAAATTCTGTCTAATTGTATGAAACCATAACTAGGCATTGCCGTTCTGTTTAAAAAGAAAGAGATCTGCCCGAAATAATTTCCTTTCAAGATTAAAAAAAGTTGTATGTAATTATTTTAAGCTTTCAGATCATGAAATACTTTTAACGTTTTAACTGCACATCTGTTTTACCTAGAGGGGCACCATTTGGGAAAAGCTGATGTAACTTATATCAAGATATAGCCACTTCATTGAAGACGAGAGTATTTACTGTAAGAAAACATTAATATTTTTATGAAGATTATGAATAAGTGAATGAATGTCAAATATATTTTTTGTTGCTTTCATTTTATAATTCATAATGAATAATCAGATTTAGCTTTCTTATAATATGAAATATAACATAATTATGTAATTATCTACATGAAATTTATAATTATGAAAATTAAGTCTTTATATTAATAATACACATTTGAATTAAATATTTAAGAATACAGAAAGCAGTTTAACATTGTAAATCTAAAATAAATTAAAAAAGAAACAAAGACTTTTTGGAGATTAATGGCTTTATTTCATTATTATTAATTAATCATTTCATTTTCTCCTTTTTCAGTATTTGAACTAAAATAACTAATAACAGATGAAAGCAGCAACCGAAAGCCACGGTATTTAATCAAGATTAGTTTAAGTTGTTTTTCATTCGAAAGCATCAAGTTGGATATATGGGTTATGTTTCTTTTTTTATATTAATGTCTACAGCGTATGCATGTATAAACCGTTAGGATGAAGCGAGATAGTCTTAAAATTTTAACTCCTGTTTTATTAAATATACATTTTAAACTTGTAGTAGCTTATTTTATTTTAATTTAAGATACAATATGCTATTTGTGATTTATTTAAATTGCATTTAAATAACTTTTGGGAAAATGATTTATAAATTCATAATTTAATAAATAAATCTCTTTAATTTAATTTAAATTTAATTTAATAAATTAATAAATAATTAAATCTCTTCATTTAATTTAATAAATATTACTTCTTTTGTAATTGAGTGGTTTCATATTCCATGCTTCATTAAATAATCTTTTTTTTGTTTAAAATTTTAGCTCTTGAAAAGTAACTTTTCAAGAATTTACATATTTTGACAGAAATAAATATTTCTGTTTTGATCTCTGCTTAGAATATTCACTCAATTTCTATTTGAATTAATATGACTAATTACTCCGAAAAAATTAATTAGCTAATTGATTGCATTAAAATTAATAACTAAACCACTGAAAATTCATTAAAATTTCATAAGGCAGTTAAGTTATTAATTTCATAGATTATTATATTTTTCTGAAAACTAGTCTTACAAGAAATTTTATATTTTAATAAAATTCTGAGTAAAATAATCAAAAGCGCAGAAAGAGGAAAAGCATAAGCAAAGATCTAAGTCTTTTAGAAAAGAAAATATGTTTTCCTTTTCAGAGCTAAAGTATAAAACGTTCAAAGCTTTGAATTTTATATAAATTTAACATATCGTTAAAGGGAAAAAGGTAAAGAGAAAAAAGGTTGTAAAGGTACTATATTAAACTAGTCTTAACTGTTAATGCAGTTTGCAATGTTTTTTTCAATAGAATTTGCAATAAAATATTCGAAAACACTTCTGTTTGCTTTAAATTACTCCAAAAATAATTTAAACATTTTCCTAAAAATATATTGAATTTCATAAAATAACTCTATAATTGGATGAAAGTCTTATAAAATCCAGTTTTTTTCAGTTATTGAGATATCAAATGATTTAGATAAAGCAATGTTCTCTAATATGAATGTTTTTAAGAAGTATTTTCGAAATACTGCATGACATAAAAGCAATATTTATAATATACTTATAAAGACAACATTTCTATAAAAACGATTAAAATAAAGGAACTCGCTTATTATAAATTAAGCTAGTTTAATGTTAATGAAAGCGAGGAATTTTAAGCCGTAGGATGTAAAATATTAAGAGTTTTAAAACGTTGCTTACTTGGTATAGAAACAGTATAGATAATTGCTATATTATTTCGAAAGCACATTTTTTAAGTAACTGAAAAGTCTTTAAAATGCCAATAATTAGTTATTTTATCATTTATCTTAAGCTATGATTTCAATCAGTCATTCGACTGTATTATAAGATTGTTAAAATTATTAAGAACATTATTCTCTTCTAAAAAAAGACAAAACCTGTGTAAAATAAAATTTTAATTTTCCCGAAATTATTTAGTAAATAATCATCAAAGTTTAGTATAGATAAATTAACATAATGCCTAATATTTGTTAATATCTTTATATATTTAATACATTTTCAAACTTAATAAACTTTACTAGGAGAAAAGAATGTGGACAAATTTTATGATAATTTAGATCGGAAACATTTTACGTTACACTATGCGAATTATTGTTTGGATAATATTTTCACGTCATCTTATGTATAAAGTTGTAGACTGTAATTTTAACAGTAACATTACCTTAATGTTATTTTAAAAATATCTCTTAAAATACACATAATATTTTTTTTTAAATATACCTTCTCTTAAATATTTATTCATTTTAGATATTTATTGCCTTTTTAATTCGCACAAAACTTAAGATTTAAGAAAGTGTTTAGAATAATTTCAATCGTCTTTTACCTAACGGCACTGCTATATGAAAAAAAGGTAAACTGAAAAACATTCTCTAATTCACCTTACCTTGGAGCCACGCTCGTTGAAAATGATTTCAACATCTAATATAGGGCCATATTGCTGCAAGATATAATATAGGGAGACTACATTAATACATCAACAATCTTTCATAAGCACTTTATTCTCGAAACAATTTTAGCAAGAAAATTTTTTCCTAAAATTAATTAGGCACATTTTACATGATTACTTCGTGAAAGTTAAAACAAAATTAATGGTGTTTTATTAATTTGTATTATCATACTTTTCTTTTATCTCTTTGCTATTTTGCTATTGCATTATTTCAAAGCCAAATGCTTTGTTGGAGCTTTGAACTTCTAAAATTTGAGGCTTGAAGCTCTTTTAATATTTTTGGTTATCATTCTTAAAAAAAGATTACAGAGAAAGTCTGCTAGAATATTTTTGAATATTTACATTGATTATGTCATACATGTATCTGTCAGTAGTCATCCATGGACTCTTTTCCATTATTTGAACGAAGAAGTCTGCGTAGGGAAGAAATAAATTTTATTTTCTTAGGAAACTTATTTCTTTCATAAAAATGTGTCATAGGACACCTGATATGAAAATGAATTTAAATAATTTTTCCGCATTTTTAAAGATTATCTCATCATCAGATCAGCCTAAGTTTACTAGAAGATGACGGTGTGTGCCGCCAAATCTAAAAAAAACTGAGCGCTAATTTTTTTTTTGTAACTATGAGCAGCTTTTTAAAGATATCGCATTTGCTTTTCTCCATTATCTATCACATTTCAAAAAATTTGGTAAAGATTTATTGCAATATCCAGTTCATGAAAATAAGCAATAAGCAGCTTATACAGCCGCCTAGAGTTTGTAAGTAATATTTTAAAAAGAAAATTGGTTAAAAACGTGGTGTACAGATTTCATACCAAACGAACTTACATTCCAAACATGTAACACTTATTGTGTTTCATACTTCTTTAGGTTCTAAGCATATAACATTTTTTTTGAGTGTTGTAACCCAAAATAAGCGTTATATGTTTGGAAACGATAATGTTAAAAAAAACTTGATTTAATTTGAAGTATAACTCTGCGCTGCAGAAAAGATACAAATCGTTCTATGAGCCATATATGGCATTTTCAGATTCGCTAAACATCTATAAATAAATGACGAAAGAAATAACTTTTCATAGTTATTAAAATCAGTAATTGTAGTTTTGTATTCTTATTTCATTTAAAATGTTTTGTCCATCTAGCAGAAGCTAAACAATGTATTTTTGCGATAAATCTAAGTTTTTGTGTCAGTTAAAAGTTATTTAAAATCGGGACCTTAAAAGTAATTTGAAGAAGCAAGGAATTGTTCACAGGCTTACCCCAAATAGCTGCCGAAGATCAGGATCTCTGAATCTGAAGGGAATGTTGCTGACATGAAGCCGTTTTGGTTGGCTAAACTTTGAGCCATCTGAAGCTGCTGTTTGTGTTGATGCTTGGCCACTAGCTGACACTATCACTTCGGGTTCTAAATCCGTTTGCTTTAAAAAATAACATACCCAACAGATTAAACACACATATAGAAAACATAAGCTTTTGAAATAAACTAAAAGGAACTTTTTGATAGATTTTGCATAAAAATGATAAGTAAATGAGTAAAATAGAAATTAAGATGTAATATTTCATTTTTGCTAACGCAGCTAGAGTTTGACCAAGGTACAATCAATGATTGTTTCTTGCTTACTTTTTCCCCCTGTGAAAAAACATAAGCCCATCCTATGATAATTACGCCACAGTACTGTGATATACTTAAAATTTCCTATTTGCAGTTCAAGTGAAATCTTGTGATAAACTCCATAAAGATGCCATACAGATGCACAGAACTGCTTTTCCTGATGTTGTCAGATTAATGAAGAAGAAACTAAAGACCATTAAATGGTATGTACCTCTTCTATAATCAGATATCTCATCGTACGATTTTTTTATATTTGAAATTCCTAAAGCGTTCTTTAAAGGACAATCACTGTTACTTGGCGATACAGATTCAAGTTCAAATTTTGGTGAATAGGACAACTGTATACGAGTCAATTGAATATGAGTCATTTTCCCTTGAAACGTTCTCCTCGAAGATATACCTCCTCTTAAACCGAGAGTCACAGCAGTTTTTGTCATAAACCAAATAATCTGATCCATTCCAATCTAATGGGGCAATCGCATAAACGGAGTTCTATTGGGCACTTTTAATGATACAACAGACTTCTGTCAGAAAGCCATATTTGACCTTGTTTGTAGATGGAATAAGATAGTCAAAGCCGGCATGCACTTTTAGCAAAACGATACGAACTTTCCAGAATAAAATTTTAAGGGGAAATATTTTAATCAAAGTTTATAATAGGAGTTTTTACATTAATAAGAAATTTCGCTTTTTAAAAAGCATTGTTTCGATAGAGAGCATTAAGAGTATTTACAATAAGTTTCCAAAAGCCTTTTTATTAAATATAAATAGCTTTAAAATTTACTAAAATTAGTTATTGAAGCTGTGGTTAAATAAATTTGGCAAGAGAGTTCTATAGCTAGAAATCAAGTAAATAAAAAATGTCGATTAAAGTCATTGCACTTCCGTCTGATACTGCCGACGGAAGAGTCCACCACACATCGTAGCTTGTTTTAAAGAATATTTAAAAGAATGGTTAAGTTGTAAAAAATGTTTTTGCAGAAGTTACGTCTTGTTCTCTTAAAACCTAGTCACCCAGAGCAAGAAAATAAAAAGGATCTAACTTGGAAACCACGCTTAGAGCTATTTATAGCCTTTCAAGTGATTTGCCGTGTGGATCTCACCCAAATATCTTGAATAAAAGTAAAAGTTACATCAATATACCTTCAACCTAATTATCCTTCTTTTAATAATAATTTTAATAAAGAAAAGTAAAACCACCTTTGGGAATGGTTTTCTAACGAGCCAAATCATTATGTAACGTACAATAAAGTAAACATTCAAACGCATATAAAAATGTCGAATTCAAAACAGAAAGAATATTTGCTGCTGACACACCTTTATTTCGTTCATATTAAGCTAATTACATGCTACAATGCTGGTCGTAATAAACCTCTCGAATTTTGCTACAACTGAGAGAAATCATTTTTGAAAAACATTTCTTATTTTAAACCATATTAAGCTTTCGATATTTCAAGACCTTTTTGTTTAGAGCCCAATTATTTGAACAGATAGCTAACTTTATTAAATTACTTCTTTTTCGTTATCTTCAGAAAAATATATCAGTGCTCCATGAATTACTGTTTCCCTTTTCCTAGGAAATAATCAATGCAAAAAGATATGAATTTGCTTTTTGTCAATTACGTAGAACAGATAAAGGATTCTTGTGAAAATATTGTCTCTGAAGTTATAGATTTCAATATTTATTTGAAGAAGGTTTGGTATAGTTTAAAGGATAAGAGAGGGAGATAAGTAAAGGCTCTGAAATACAAATTTTCTTCTTTTTTCGAGTTTAAAGCTGACGTTTCTTAATAATTTATTTCTGTTAGGAGCAGAAATAATTTAATTTGTAATTCGTATTTATTATTGCTTTGTTCTTTACCGAAGATAAAAGCAATTGTTCATGTTAAAAGTAATTTTAATAATAAATGATACTGTAATTTTTTTTTAAAAAAAGAATAATAATAAATGAGACGCGTATTACTAATTTGGCATTCGAAGGCTTTGCTAAAGTAATTTTGCAAAGTGATTAGTTCTATTTTTGATGGATTTGTGTGCTGCAGACATAGGAACTTGTTAGTTTTGTGTTTTTACTCATGAAGAGTGTGTGTGTGTGTGTGTGATTATGGCAAAGCCTCGAGGGCTATCTGCCTAAAGGGAGGGATGCCTTCGTGGAGGACTTTCTAAGGAAAAACTGGCTCGTATACACGTTACACATGGGGAAAACCACGGAAACACCCATGCAGCCAGCTCGTTCGCGGGATTCGAACCTCGAACCGAACTACCAGTGTTCAGCGACTTTACCGCTCGGCCGCTGGTGGGCCCTTTTTACTCATGAAGAAAAACAAGGTATTAAAAAATCAAGAAAAAATATTTTAACTGTATAAAAAGCTTACTTTTTTATTAGGTATAATATATTTGTTTGTTATACTAATAAAACGCGTTTTGAGAATAAAAACTGCATTTTGGATATATCAAGACATTTTCTTGAAAATTTGTAATATGCAGTAATAAATAGGTAAATGGAATTTTATGCTCAGAAACAAAAATTAGCGGCAGGAAGTTGGAATATAGTGAGCCTAACAATACATACGTTTCATTTACTTTAACCCGACTTTTGTTGCTAATTTGTTTTGCTTTAGCATTTATTTCAATTTGTTTTTGTGGTGCTTTTCGATTTGCAAAGAATTCTTGTTATTTATAACCAAATTAACAAAATTTTACATAATTTTTCGCTTAATCATTGAATTCAATAAACTCAAAACTAAGTGAACTAAATCTCTATTTACAAGGTAATTCTTTGACTGTTCTGAACGCCTATGAGAAATTATAGGGGTTTGAGAGGAAATTTGGTTTGTAAGTTACTAGTGTAAAAAAGATTGTTTCATAATTTTCAACCTTAGAATCATTTTAGTAAAAAATTTTATCATTATTTGCAAACAATTAGAAATGACATAAGGTCGCCTCTCAAAACTCTGAGGTCTAAGTCTGAAACCTATTTTCCAAGTGTTAACCATGAAACATGTTCATGGCTTCTTAATGCTTTCTATTGTGATTTTGAAAATAACGAACTTTCATTGAATGAAAGAGAAAAGCTAACTGAAAGGAAAAAGAAAGAAAAGAAAGATTGATTTTAATGAAATATGTAGGTGGCGCTGGCGTTTTTTGACTACTGACGCCACCTATACAACTTTGTAAATGTGCTAAACAGTTCAGTTGTTGTCGGAGTACTGTTATGTGAGGTTGTCATTGCATTATGTCAGGGTTTAACAGACCTCGAACGTGGGCAAATTGTTGGAGCACGTATGGTAGGTGCTTCCGTAAGCAAAGTAGCCGAGGTGTTTAGTGTTTCATACTGTATCGAAGATTTATTCCGCATATTTGAAAAGCGGAAAAACATCATCTGCTAAATCACAGCGCGGACGAAAGTGTGTCCTGAGTGATCGTGACAGACGATCATTAAGGGCAATTGTGACGAAAAATAAGAAGACCACAGCTGCAAAAGTTACTGCTGAAATGAATGTTGTGTTACCGAACCCTGTGAGTACCAAAACAATTAGAAGGGAGCTTCATGAACAGGGAATTGCTGGCCGTGCTGCAATTGAGAAGCCACTCATCAGTGATGCTAATGCCCGTAACAGGAAAAGGTGGTGTTCAAGTCATAAAGCCTGGACTATAGAGCAGTGGAAGCGAGTAATATGGTCTGACGAGTCTTCTTTCACATTGTTTCCCACTTCTGGCCGAGTTTACGTCTGGAGAACGCCATCTCAAGCCTATAATACAGACTGCTTGTTGCCAAGAGTGAAACATGGCGGGGGTTCTGTTATGGTTTTGGGCAGCCATATCGTGGTTCTTGCTAGCCCCATGATAAACTGTGTCAGAGCACATGACTGCCAAGACTTATGTGAACATTTTGGCCGATCAAGTTCATCCCATGGTACAAACTTTGTTCCGCGATGGTGATGGTGTCTTCCAAGACGACAAAGCCCTGTTCACACAGCTCACATTTGTCCAGGACTGGCTTTTCTGAGCACGAGGATGAGTTGTCCCATCTCCCCTGTCCACCACAGTCACCAGACCTGAATATATCGAACCTTTGTGGTCTACATTGGAACGGAAAGTGCGTTCTCGTTATCCACCGCCAACATCGTTATCTGAACTTGCCACCGTTTTGCAGGAAGAATGGTATAATATTCCCTTGGTAAACATACAGGAACTGTATTTATCCATTCCGAGAAGACTGCAAGCTGTTTTGGATGCCAACGGGTTTCCTACACCATATTAAGCAAAGAAACATGCTTTTTAAAGGTGTTTCCATATTTTTGTCCAACCCCTGTACCTTATAAGATTACCGCATATATCTAAATGCAGAACAGTCGTGCAAGAATCAGCAAGGTCATCGATGTCATTAATTGCGCGTTCCAAAATTTATAAAATCCTTAGTTAATAAAATAAAGCTTTTCCTTCCTTGATTTTTTAGAAAAAAACATAACTATTCTTAAATGACTAATACCAATATAAAATTAAATGAATTTTAATTAACTGCATTTAAAATATATAAGTACCTTGCTAAAAACTAACATAAGGACTAACACATGCTAAAAGTTGCTTTTGAGATGAGGTGGTTCGCAAAATATCTTAATTTATAAAATGATCTCAACTAGAACAAAGTTTGAGAAACTCTGAATAAGTTATAATACATATGCGTAGTGATAATACTAATTAAAAGAATCTGTAATAGTTATTATTTAACTGTAAGCTTTTTTGCATAGGAAAGGACATTGCTGATTTAAATGCCATATTTTTCTACTAATTCCTCCGATGTAATGTATTTTTCCAAATAACTAATTTAAAAATGTAGATCTGTCTAACTAATCAATACAGAATGTTTAAAACAATGGTTATTTATATTTCAGATTTTTTTTTTTTTATCTTCTTTTAGCTGAAGACTTTTATTTGGATGGTGGCATTGAAATTAGGGTAGTAGTTTATAATCGATGGCGTCTTAAAATTTACGGATTACATTAATTCTTGATTTAAACGTATTGCTTAAATTTTCATTTAAAATCGATTATTAATCATAATTAAAAAAAGGACCTTCTGATGCGATACTTAAGCGAAGGTCGAATTCCTGTTTCCCAGATGATCTTCGCTTAGATTTGTATTAAACTCGAATCGACTAAAACTCTGATGTGTACTTATCTGTTATCAACAGAAGAAGCTAAAATCAAATTTTAAGATCAAGAGCGTTAGGAATATTATGAAGAAAGACACTCTGATTTTTTTTCAAGATCAAATAGGAAAGCTGACGATTGTAAAGTTAATAAATAGGAATTGAATTTTCAGTGGGAATATTTGCTGTATTACCATATTGTTGAGTGCGTACGGGTTCGTTATGAAATGAATGCACAAGTCCGATGAAAAATGAACAAAAATTTATTATTATCAAAACAAAAATGCTTAAATTTTGTTAAATTATCATGTAGTATTACAATATTTCACAGTAGTTATCTTTTAACTACTCAAATGTCCAATAGAAGGTAATTCAAAACAGCTAAAGAACGCTAATCCGCGAATTCGCTACAATCAACAAGAGCAGTTTTCTAAACAACAACAAACTAAGCAACTACTACGAACTGAGATGTTTTCCTCCTTTTATAAGATTTTAAAATCACGCGCTAGAATTTTCCAGTACTTTCTCGAAATCAAAAAGAGATATTTATTTATTTAATGCACGCGCTCTTGTATTTTCAATTTTCCGGCTTAGCTTTCTTTTAATATTCGTCACGCACTGCACTGCGCGGGAAATGAACCAAGTAATTTATAATTGAACTAACATTAGCTTTTTAAATACCAAATTCGTAACAATATTATAAATTCTACAAAGAGGTTTAAATTTTATTTATTCTTTCTAAACTTTTCAAAGCACTCTAAGCTTTCCAAAGATCTTTGGTTAAAAAAAACCTGTGATGTATAACAATGTACTTTCCAAAACTTTAAAACTACAATAGTCTTGAACTTTATTACAAAAAAATAACGGCAGCTGACTTTATTCTTTAGCAGTTTTTTTGAGAGATCTAACAAATATTTATTCAGTTAATATACTTTTATATTTATGAAAGTAGCTAAACCTATTATCTCAATGTGTTATACTTTTAAGCCCAAGGAAAAGATAAGAAGCGTGTGTGTGTGTGTGTGTGTGTGTTCATGGCAAAGCCTCGAGGGCTATCTGCCTAAGGGGAGGGATGCCTTCGTGGAGGACTTTCTAAGGGAAACTGGCTCGTATACACGTTACACATGGGGAAAACCACGAAAATGCCCATGCAGCCAGCCCGTTCGCGGGATTCGAACCTCGGACCGAACTACCAGTGTTCAGCGAATTTACCGCTCGGCCGCTGGTGGGCGAAAAGATAAGAAGCGAATTTTTTGTTAGTTTGATGATGCAAATGAAAATACAGATAAATTAAAAAAGCACATCCTTAAAATAGGTCCAACATTGAGATTTTAAAGAGATCTTTTAAAGAGATCTTTTACAATTCATATTTTTTATGGCTCATATAACTAATTTATCAAGATGAATATTTTCTTTACCTGGGAAAAATTATTTACTCACGCATTAAGATGAAATAGAGAAAGAGGTAATCTTATTATTGAAGAACGTTAAATGTTTTATTAGGCAGAAATTTTATCGTTGACTACAGTGTAACTTGTTTCTCCCTAAATAGTAATAAATATTTTACCTCTTATACTTCTTCTTGTGAAGCGTGGAATAAATATTACTAGTGAATGTTTACGTTTCATTAGCAGTTTTGTTACGTTCACATTTATGTTTACATTTCAGATAATGAACACCACAATTTTGCCATGTTTAATTCCAGCTGTGATTTGGTGAATTTTTCAATAAAAGTTATTAAATTCTTACTTTAGAAATCTAGTATACTCTTACAAAATAATTCAAAATCGAGTACATAAAAATGTTTACATTTCTATCTTTTCATATTTTAGTAACTGAAATTAATTCGTATTTATAATAACTAAATTAAATGATTAGGCACCAAATATGTACGCTTAATCCTTCCTTTTACTAAAAGCGTTGTTGAGAAGTTTAGATAGATGCAGATGCGCGTACAAAATTAATTAAGAAGAACTAAAATTTCTAATTATTAAATTCTAGATTACCTCGTTTCACGTGATAACGTTATGTAAAAATATTTGGTTCGTAATAAATCAGCCAGTCGCAGGTTTTTCCCGACATATTACTATGCGAAATCTTCGATTTCTCTATCACCAAAACAGTAATCGATTTTGGGAATATCTAAATTGAATTTCGCTAGTTTTTTCATCTCCTTTTTTCAAGCGTTCGGTATGAAAAGAAGCAGAACAAAAAAATATATTATACCGTTTGTTGCTCGACCCCATTACTGGTGATGACTGGGACGCTAAACGAGGAATCTTTGGATCCTCCGTCATTCCTTAGATGCTGTGCGGTCTGCTCACCCCCGTTCTGCTGCTGCTGCTGCTGTTGTTGCTGTTGTTGACTGCCTCCGTATTGAGGAGGGTAAGACATCGGTAACTGTGTCTGAACCATGTGCTGTAAGAGAAGAACCTATTTTTATTACCAAATTAAAAAATATGATGTGTACAGAACATGACTTCCTTGTACGAAATGTTAAATTATACGCACTTTTTCTTGCATTTTATTTAAACTTCTTGAATTGAATTAAATCTACTTCGTCGATAGCGCATAAGCCACAATAGAATAAATTCACTCTTTAAAATTCACTATATTTTAAAGAGTGCATTTATTCTATTGTGTTTACCATAGCGACACTCTGGCGCTAGCTTCACTTAACAGCGTTATATTTCGTTCATATTATAACTCAGAATGCACAAAATTTATATCATTTGAAGAATTATCTAATCGTTGCCACATGTTCTATTCAAATACTATAATAAATCTAGGACGATGTATAAACGAAATTAAGCAAACAAAACAAAATAGAAACAGCTTTTTACAGACGATTCAATATTTCTACTTCAATTAATTCAGTTCCCTATTCGCGACAAGGCAAAAATACATAAAAACTCAAAATATCTATATTAAAAATTACGAAGTAAATCTTAAACATTTATTTCCTCGAAAAAATTCCAGAAAGGATTAAGCATGATTTAATTTACAATAATAAATGAAGGCGTTATTTAGTTGTTGCGAAGCTTAGTCTCTCTAGATTGGCAACAAATCTACTATTCTGCTCTTTCAAATATAAACAAACATGTCCGCCATGTTATTTAAACATTAGGCTTAATCGCACTTAAACAGCTTTTAAATTGTTGATAATTCTACAAATACTGCTTGCAGATTTCTTAAAAGGCATAAAAACCTTAACCAGAAGATAAGAACAACATAATTCAATCATTTGTAAAGCAAAAAATGCATAATTTATAAACATATAAGAGTAAAGAAACTGAGATCACTCAGCCGGGTAACAGAGTGGATATATATAAACAAATTAATAAATTGGAACTCCAACATTTCCAAAAAAGTAATTAACAATACTATAATTAATCAAATACAACGAATTAAAACTATATGCACAGATACAATAGATTTACAACGCGAAATTTTGATCCTTATCAAAATTCTCAAAAATAATCTAATTCCCTTTCAATTTATCAACCATTGCCTTAAAAGAGCAGGCGTTAAATACTCACTCTAAATCATTTAACTGATAGGGATATGATAATTTATTCCTAAACCTGAGAAGGCGGTATAAGTTGGATGACTGTCAGTTGGAAGATTTGTATATAGTGTAATTACTCAATTGTATATATTGTAAAAAGCTAATTGTCTTCAGACATTTACTGTTACTATACTGTTACTAAAAAAATGGGCCTATTTCCTGCCTTTAGACTGTCTACTAGCTCTTGGACAGCGAAAATGCCTTTTTCCTTTCTTAAATTCTTAATCATTGCGACACGATAATTAGCCAGAAATTAATTAATTTCCATTCACTAGTATTTTCAAAAAAATCTTAACAGACGGTCTCTCTCAGATAAGAACTCCACAAAATGCATCCCTCAAGAATTCTAAGTCCCACCCACTACCATAAATTTCTTCACCCAAGTCTTACCGACTGATATTATTCAAAGCCCCTACTGCCGCTAAGAATTTTCGGACACCCTACACTTCTGAGTCAGACACGAAGAGAACAAACACATTGCCAACTCCCCCACTAGAAAGAATGTAAGTTACTTAATACTTTTCTGGCCTTTATATCTTCATGTACATTCACTGATCTTATTTATATTATTTTCTATATTATTTTTATATTATTTTTATGTTTTCTTTGATTTGTTTTTATTAAGTTTGCATTATTTATCTTTTTTATAATCTTCTATGTTTATTTCAACTTTACTTTGATTTCGATTTCATAATGACAATTTCCAATGTCTAATTTCTACAAATAATATAGTACTCAAATACATAAAGATGATAGTGTCGGGGACGGTTACTCGAGTTTTACAGGATTTCTCTACAGTAATTGAATTTTACTCCAAATTGAATTGACTAAAATGCTTCATGAGAATAAGTTCTTTGAGTAGCAACTATTCGCGGAAATATTTGGCCTGACTAGAATTGCCGGTTTGGTTTTAACTTATAACTCGAGTAAAGACGAAACACTTTCATATTTACGTATTTTTATCAATTATTGTTCATTGAACGGGAGTTGGTTTGTTCCCCTTGAAAAGTCAACTAATTTCCGATCAATGACAATAATTACATGTTTTAATTTTTCCTTTTACAATTGTAATATTATTCTTCATGATGATTTAACTCCAGTCCCCGTTAAAACATTATTAACATTTTGCTTTCAAATTACTTCAAAACATCTTTCAAAATATAACTTACCAGTATGGATACACACTTTTAAAATAATTCTACTTTAATTAAACTTAGGAGATAATATAATCAATTAATCAATACTGTTTAGGAAATAAATTATTATTAACTAACTTTGCAGCAATTGCGCAAGTAAATAATAACTTGTATTCGCACTAAATGGATTTAAGTTCATACAACATTTTATATATAAATAATATATTTATATACGTTTGGTGCGGCCGATTGCAACCAAAATACGAGGTGCACATCTACATGTTATAGCAGTTCTATATAAAAAATTTAAATGTTCTGAAGATACTCGTTTTTGAGTTATGCGAGATACATACAGACACCACGAAAAATTCTCTTCAGAATTCAACTTGAAACAGTTTTATAATTTTTTTGGAGGAAAAGTTATTCTGTCCTTACGTACAGATGTAACGCAAAAGCATCGTTAATTGCATTCGATAGCGGTCAAAATGGATACTTTCGTTGAAATATGCTGCCTGAAACTTTTCGCGATTGCAATACTGCCTTTTTACTTCGTACAAGGAAGTAAAAACAAGTGTTTATATTATAAAATTCTTATTGAAAGTGGCGATAGATAAAATAACTAAACAGTTCACACAAATATTAGTATTTTACTATAAGTGTTCTCACAAGTAATCATATTGTAAATCATAAATTAGGGCAATAATTTCAAAAATGGAAGTGTGTAGCTTTTAAAATAGCCCAAGAAAAAGAGTATTTATTTTGCATTGTTAATTAATTTAGTTTTCATTGTTAATTAAATTCTTTAATGAATGAAACATAGTAACGCACTTTTGAAGTTAGTTTATTTTGTAGTTTTAGTTTCTGGAAGAAAAAAGGTTTCCTGCTGTAGCGTTTTCGTTTTCTTATTTGCCGCGGCGTTGGAAAACGAAGTCATGAAGCATTACTGTTAAAGCTACCATACCGTTCCGGTATTAAACATTCCTTGTGGCTGTTTACTGAATCTTATCATAAGATATCAGTAAAGTCGATGTTGTTTCCGATCATTGTTTCTTACGCAGACGAAGGGGAATTCAGTTAGAGAGCTAAAAAATGCTTGCTTATATTGTTACGAAAGGTACAGGCGCGGTAAGACGGCTTCCTCACAAAGCAGTTTAAGGATTGCAATAAAATGTCAAGGGAAGGCAGAGTTGCCACATTTGGCGAGAAATCGGCCATTTGGTGAGAAAATTGGCGATATGCCATGGACGGATGGAGAACCTTCTGGAACGAATCCTTACCAGTTTAGCCCAGAATGTTACCTCGAACACAAGCCGAAAGCTATATAAACCCTGCTAGTCCGCAGTCAGTGTGTGAGTGTGCCTCGTCTAGCGAGCTGATCATCAGTCATTAAGCGAGTGTCTCGAAGTCTAGCGCCGAGTGGATCGTCGAGTGCATCGAAGAGTCTCTTAGTGTATCGCGGTTAGTGCATCGTCGAGAGAGTGTGCTTAGCTCCGGGAAAGACTGAACCGAAGAGTCGGGAGCTGTGCTCTGTGTGTCGTCGAGTTGTAGCGTGCAGAGTCTCGAGAGTACGTGGAGTTCCGAGAACGACCGAGCAGAGTCGGGATCTGTACTCTGGTGCTTTGAAGTGAAGCTGCCTCCACCGTTACTGCCCGACAGTGTGAATGCTGTGTCGCTGATTTGTTCCAGCGTGTTTATAGTAGATCTTCGATGACTGTAAAACGTGACTTCGAAGACAGTAAAAGTGTTTTGGAGCTGTCCTGATTGATATTTGAAAATAAACTGCGTTTCGATACTTCATCAAGTGTCGTCGTTATTCACTTAATGTGAATCAAGTGTCGTCGTTTAATCTACGAACCCCGTACGAACGTGAAGGAAGAAAATAACGTAACAGCTGTTGTCAGAAAAAAAAATTAAAAAAAATAATAATAAATAAATAAAAAAATAAAAAATAAAAAAAAAAAAAAAAAAAAAACGTAACAGTATGTTAAAGGCGACAAAACCTTGTTGCTAACGATGTGTGAGGAAACTGTTAAGAAAATAATTAACACCGTGTGAAGGAAATATTTGTTGTAAGGTTACCTGAACTTACAGAGGCCGCTCTTTTTATTCCTCTCATTTGAAAAGTGCAAAACGTATTTCACATTAAGTTACTTATTTTAATGCAGAAAATTCTATAGGCTTTAAAAGTTTATTAAATTAACATTTTGATTTAAGCCAGACTATCTTCTTTCTTCATGAATGGCAGCTTACTTACTTTCGTCGAATTTTATTGCCTTTAGTGGTTTTAATGTTATGTTAAAAATAAAGGTATAAAGCAATTTATATAATAGAATTTGAAATACTAAAAAAAAAAAAAAAAAAAAAAAAAAAAAAAAAAGAAAAGAAATATCTGAAACGATCGTATTATCTCAGATTCATGATTATTATTTTTCATTTATCATTAGAAGCCATTTAAGGTTAAGTACAATAAATGTACTTTACATAAAGCTCTATGATGATTTCTTCTTAAAAATTTAGTTTCTATAGATATTTAACCTCTTCATATAATTTTAATTTTAACTGCATTTACAAATAAAGTTTAGTATTACTGCATTTTATCAGCCCCTGTTTTCAGAAAGAAGGATTTAAATAATTTTTATTTCTGGTTACGATCTTGCAAATTTTAAATTCAATGAACTTTATATTGGTAAAGTGGAGGCTTTGCACATTGTACT